TGGTTTCCTTTGCGCTGACCCTGTGGGCCATCTGGGGCCCCGCTGTGCCTGGTGGAGCTCGCTGGGTTGGCAGCCCCATGGTCCTCAATCGGCCCTTTGCCTCGAGCAGCGATTTTGTGCTCGTGGACTGAGGCCGCCGGGGAGTGTCCGTAAACCCCATGGTCGAAGTTTTCCATATGGATGCTCCTGGCAACGACTTGGGTAAGTTTCACCGCGGCGCTCGGCTTCGGCCACAATGCCCCGTGCTACCTCCTTCGGGTCAGAGGTGCACCAATACCCATGCGCCGCGAACTAGACAGCCCGCCATGGTCTCGTGGATCCACCCTGGACGGAGTGCCCGGTGGCTGACATAGTCCACCCCTTGCGTCCCACCCTCCCGGCACCGAGGTCGGCAATGACTGGGTAACCTACTGCCGCACCGCCAGCCCATAGACCTGACCACCCCGCGGGACATGGGGGCCGTCAGTGCCGCCCCTCAGGGGCGCCCACTTTGGACGACAGGGACTGGTGGCTGAAACAACCCACCTCCAGCGCTCCACTTTTCAATAGCATATGGTACGACAGCAGGTGGGGGTCGCATGCCGTGTCCAGCGGCCGCTGGCTTCCCCCCTGCATCTCACCATTCAAGGTCCCTGCGGCTCTTGGCTGCGCCCCTCTCCGTCGCGTCCGACACGTCCGTGCGGCTCTTGGCTGCGCCCGCCCATCCTGATCGCCGAGGTCGATCCGGCCCCGCGAAGGCGACTGGGCTGTCACCCAGCGCCGGGTTGGATTCGCTCCCCCTCCTCCTCCTCTTTCCCCCGCTCTACATTCACTTGTTTCTGCGGCTCTTGGCTGCGCCCCCAAGGAAGTGTGCCTTGGTTGAGGATGTGCCAGTGCCTTGGTCTGGCCCAAGCGTGGAGGCACTTGGTTGACCCCCCACGTTCACTCACAAGTCTCTGCGGCTCTTGGCTGCGCCCCCAGCTTTGTGAAGGGACTTCATGGCAGGGGAGCTGACCGTTTCAGCCACCCCTGCGGGTCACGCACTGGCTTAAAATCTCGCTTCCAGCCGTGCCGGCGGACAGGTGGGTGCTCATCGCGGCGCGCAGGGCCCGCCTGCGCCAGACACCACAGCAGTGATTTCCCCCAGACTCTCTGGGCCGCTTCTGGTACCACCCGATGTCGGGCCTGGCATGGGCGTGTTCCTGCACAAGTGGTTCATCCTTTGGCAGGTCATCGCGGTTCCCCCGGCTGGTTCTTCGTGCAGGTGCCTCGGTCAGCGCTTGCAATTTTGCGCCCCCGATCTTCCGTGTCGGAAAAGTTGCGCGCCGTGGACACAGGCGGCATTGACGTCAGGTTCGCTGACTGGGTATGTTTCGCTCTCGCGTTCAAGAGCGGCAGATTCGACGTCTGCGACAGTGAGTCACCACGAGTGAGGCCCCCCTATGTGCCTTTCCCTTTTTCCTGCCGCTGGGTGCCCGTCTGGCGTCCGCTGCGTCTCTCCTGTCCCCTCTTGCCTCGCCCTCCGTGTGTCTTGGCATGAATTTGGTCTCGTCCTGGCCACCCCGTGCCGCTGCAGTGCGGTCCGTGCTCCGCGCCTTTTCGTGGTGTGTGGTTCGGCTGGAGTTCGGCGCCGCGAGGGCGACTGCTCCTATCCGTCCGCCGCCGGTAGCGCGCTTGCGTCCCCATCCGCTGGGATGCCTGCAACGGTCCCCGATGAGGGTCACTTTGTCCCTGGCATGTGCACTCGCTACAGCGGCCTACGTGCCTCTGCAGCCAATTATCTCGCTCTGTGGCCCAGACGTTCATCCCGCTCACTGGATCTGTCCTTCGAGCCGTCCAACCAAAAAAGTATCCCCACCAGTCCGTAACCCCCCTGGCTCAAGCCGCTCTGGTTCGAGCCCAGGAACCAGCATCCTGCGACGGCGGCGCCGCGCGGCCCCGCCCGGCCGCGGCTGCCGCGGTTGTCACTCGGACGCGTTCCCGCTCCGTGCTTGCGAACCCGGGCGCGTCGCCGCTCTGGGGCCCCGGACGCGTCGCCGCTCTGGGGTTGGCTTCTGCGCCTTCCATGCCGAAGAGGCGCGGCGTCCGCTCAGCTCTTCGCGTGGCCGCCGACGCTGCGAGACCAAATCCTCCCGCGCCAGCCCCCTTGCTGCAATGGGTCGCTCGAATGCTCGAGTGGATTGGGAGGGTCGACCTCGTCGAGGAGCTCCGCAGCATCCAGCGGCACCTGGAGCAGTTGCGAGCTGTTCGCACGCGCTTCGACGAGGTGGAAGCCGATGCGGAGGAAGTCAGGCGCGTACGGAGGAGATGAGTGCATCGAGATGGAATTCCACTTCCCAGGATGCTGGTGCGCAGGCGGCGCCGTTACGAACGCATCGATGGATGGGCGATGGGCCTGGAAGCTGGGGCGCCGCCAGGAAGGCGGAGCCGCTGCAGAGCCATGGTCGACGGTGGACTTCATTCGACGGAGGATGGTGGGATACCCCATCGGCCCGACGCCGCCGGCAGAGGGTGGCGGCGGCAGCTCGACGGAGCGAGGCTACTCCGCTTCCACAGGAGGCACTGGACTCCGCTGGCGCTGCTGGTGCTGCGGCGTCCCCTGCCCTGGCGCCCCCTCGCGCTGGCCGCCTGGCGCTGCCGCCGCGGCCGCCGCTGGGTGCCTCGCCCGCCGGCGCCTCCCCTGCCCTGGCGCCCCCTCGCGCTGGCCGCCTGGCGCTGCCGCCGCGGCCGCCGCTGGGTGGCGCCGCCGCCTCGCCCGCCGGCGCTTCCGCCTCGCCGGCTGGCGCCGCCTCCGCGGTCGCCGCCCGCGCTGCCGCCGCCGCCGCTGGCTCCGCCGCGGCGGTTGCGGCTGCGGCGGCTGCTGGCGCCGCTGTTGCGGCTGGCGCCCCCCCTCCCCGTGGGCGCCGCCTGCGCCGCGGGCGCCGACGTGGCCGCGGCCTCCGCCGTGGCCGCTGCCGCGGTCGCCGAAGCGCGGGCCGCCGCGGCCGCCGGCGCCGCGGACGCCGCGTGCGCCGTGGCCGCGGCTGCTGGCGCCGCGGTCGCCGCTGGTGCCGCCGGTGCCGTGGCCGCCGGTGGCGCCGCCGGCGCTGCGGCGGCCGCTGGCGCTTTTGGCGCTGCTGGCGCCGCTGCTGGTGCCGGCCCTCGGGCGGCCGCGGCGGCCGCCTGCGGCGGCGCCGCCGCCGCCGGCGAGGCCGCGGCCGCCGCGGGCCTTTGGGGGGCCGTGGCGGCGCTGGCCCGCGCCGCTGGCCTCGCCGCGGCGGCAGCGGCGCCGTGGCCGCGGCGGCGGCTGCCGCGGCCGGCCGCGTGGCGACTGCGGCGCCGGCCGCGCCTGGGCCCTGGGGCGCGGGGGCGGCGCCCGCGGCCTGCGCCGCCGCGGCCGTCCCCACGGCCGCCAGCGGCGCGGCCGCTGGCGCAGCAGCTGCGGCGGCCGCCGCCGCGGCCCTCGGCGACCCCTTGCGGCGGCAGCTGCAGCCGCAGCAACAACAGCAGCAGCAGCGGCCGCAGCAGCAGGGCAGCAGCAGCAGCAGCAACAGCCGCAGCGGCAGCAGCAGCAGCAACATAACCCAGCAGCTGCAGCAGCAGCAGCAGCAGCAGGGCAGCAGCCGCAGCAGCCATTGCAGCAGCAGCTGCAGCAGCAGCAGCGACAGAGCCCCGCAGCCGCAGCAGCAGCACTCCTCGCAGCAGCAACAAGAGCCACCCGGCGATGACATGAATAACCCACGAGAAGACGCAGAGGTGCCCGTGCTCCCTCAGCAGCAGCAGCAGGGCAGAGAAAAGGAGGGAGGTCACGGCGGAGTCGTCGGAGGCTGCGGAGCCGCGGAGTATCGGGGGCCCGAAGCGACGGAAGCCTCGGAAGGTGCGGAAGTGGCACAAGCCTTCGCTCGTGTCTCTGGATTAGAACCGGGTGGGCAGGGGGTGGCCCCCGAAAGTGCTGACGGTAGCCGCAACAGTCAGCTAAGCGAGGTCCCGGGCCCCCGGGACAGCAGGGGCTCGCCTGCCACGCCGTGCCACCCCCACCTCCCCCTCAGAACAATCAGACCGTCAGCAGTCCTCTGGGAGCGCCACAGACCCAGCAGGGGGGCCGTGGACCAACCGTCCAGACGCAGGACAGCGAAGCCATCCACTGGCTCGTCGGGAGAACCCCCTTCGCGCCTATTCGCCCCCCTTCCCCTGTCAGTGAACCCATTCTTATGGGCGGCGAAGCCCGGGCGCCCTCTCCAGACGTCCAGGGCACGACTGGCAAAGAACCTCGTGCTCCGGCAATGGAAGCTGTGTCGCCGTGCGTGCGCGCGCCTGGCACAACCAGCGGCGCCCCAGAGACCGGAGAGAGTCCCGCGCTGACCGAAGGGGGCGCGCCTGGGAGCGACGGCGGGCACAGGCCCGAAGGCGAACGCCAGCGAAAGGGGCCTCTCCCCACGTACCGCTGGGCAGCGTCCGCCCTGGCTGCCGGATGCGATCCGACCCCCGCCTGGCGGCCTACCATGCGGCCTGCTTCTCCCCGCAGAACCCCGCAAGGCGTGCAGCCGGAACTGTCGCGTGCAGATCGCGAGCCCTCCGGCCAGGACAGCGAGGCCGGTGCGCCGGAGACTTGCGGCCAGGATGCACGGCAGCACCATTGGCCTGACCCGCGCCAATGGCCAGAGCCCAAGGACCCCGACAGGGGACAGCAGCTGTACAAAACAGAAATCAACAACATCCAGTGGGACCTCCCCGGGGAGACATCCGGCGAGGCGATGAGACGACTCCGAGTCACACTGGGGCCAATGTTCACTGGCACCTGGCACGCTTTCGCCGAGCGGCAGTCTGTGCCCGGCAGCAAGGGCGCGCTCGACCCGCAAACCTGCCACCTCTTCTTGGAATCCTTCCGCAGCCACAAGTGCGACGTACGGGTCGTCAGTGTCGCGCTGGGCCTCGACGTCGACTGGGCTCGGCTGTGGCAGCTGCACCTGGGTCGAAGCGGCGGAGTGAGCAGTGATCACCTCGCGGCGAAGGGCCACCCGAACAACCAGGCCCCCAAGAAGCGCAAACAACAGTGGTGGGCCGTCTCCCCACAGTAGCCTTTGCTGCTCCCCCTCGTGGCATCGCGCGCGCGGGGGGCAGGTGCGTGGAGGATGGTCGCTGGCAGCTGGCCCGTTGCTGCCCTGCAAGACGCGGCCTGCGAAAGGGATGCATCCTTCGCCCCCCCCCGGGCGGGGGCACATGCACCCCCCCGGGTGGCGCCTCCCGACGATGGCGCACTCTGTGTGAGAGGGAGTGTGTACTCTGCGGCTGTTGGCTGCACCCCCAGTGTGAATGGAAGTGTGATCTCTGCGGCTGTTGGCTGCGCCCCCCATCACCATGAGAGAGAGAGAGAGAGAGAGAGAGAGAGAGAGAGAGAGAGAGAGAGAGAGAGAGAGAGAGAGAGAGAGAGAGAGAGAGAGAGAGAGAGAGGGAGAGAGAGAGAGAGAGAGAGAGAGATAGTATGTCTCGCGGCGGTTTGCTGCGCCCCCCTCATGCGCAGATGTTCTCGGCGTGCAGCTGCTGTCAAGATACTTGGATGTCCTATCGCAGATGGGGCTCTCGCAGACGCACTCTGCTGGCTCACACTTCGCATCGGCATCGCACTCGTGGGGGTCTGGTGCGTGGAGGGCGGTCTCTGGCTGCTGGCCCGTTGCGGCCCTGCTAAGCGGCCTGCGGGAGGGATGCCTCCGGGCCTGCCGGCCCTGAGCGCACGCGGGGGCTGCTGCCCCTCTGGCCCGGGGCTCCCGCGGGGGATCAAGGCACCCTTGCTTCCCCGTTCTGGCTGCCAAGGGCCTTTCATCGCCTCCCCCCCGTGCTCGCTGCGTCTTGACAGCCACCGGGTTCTGGTCTGTGGCTGCAGTGTGGGCACCCCCCGTCATCCTATGCTTTGTGCGAGCTGCTACCAAGACCTGTGTACATTGCGGCTGTTGGCTACGTCCCTGCGCTCCATGGGCTGGTCGTGGCAGCAGTGGATCTCGGCGACGGCTGTGGCCGTTACCTGCGAGGCTGCAGGGTGCCGGCTCTTGGGCCAGAGTGCGTTCCTCTCATCGTTGCAGCCCCTGCCGGTCACTGGTTTCGGATACGATGAACAACGCGCCGGCCCCCCCCCGGGCAGCGGTGTGGTCAGAGACATGTGTGCAGTGCGGCTGTTGGCTGCACCCCCCCAGAGACATGTGTAGATTGCGGCTGTTGGCTGCGCCCCCCCTCAGATCGCGAGGTTGCAGTGTGCCGGCTTGGATGCATCCCTGGCTGCGTTCCAGCGCTCCATGAGCTGGTCGCGGCAGCTGCGGATCTCGGCGACAATCGTGGCCGTTACCTGTGAGGTCGCAGTGTACCGGCGCTTGGGCCAGCGTGTCCTCTCTCGTCGTTGCAGCCCCGGCCAGTCACTGGTTTCGGATACGATGAACGACGCACCGGCCCCCCCCCGGGCAGCGGTGTGGTCCGTGGAGTGAATGCTCTGTAGGTACCTGCCGTTCCTCTGTCCACTCTGTGGTCAGATTCAGCCCGTTACCTGCGAGGTTGCAGTGTACCGGCCTTTTGGCCAGCGTGTCCTCTCTCATCATTGCAGCCCCTGCCAGTCACTGGTTCCGGATACGATGAACGACGCGCCGGCCCCCCCCCGGGCAGCGGTGCGGTCCGTGGAGTGATTGCTCTGTTGGTACCTGCCGTCCCCCTGCCCACTCTGTGGTCAAGTTCGGCCCTGACTGCGCTCCAGCGCCTATGAGCTGGTCGCGGCTGCAGCGCACCTCGGCGACCTTCGGCCGATGCCCGCTAGGCGGCAATGTACCGGCTCTTGGGCCTGCGTGTCCTCTTTCATCGTTGCTTCCCTGGCCTGTCACGGGTTTCGGAAACGATGACTGACACGCCGGCCCCCCCCGGGCAGCGGTGTGGATCGTGGAGTGAGTGCTCTGTAGGTGCCTGCCGTTCCTCTGCCCCTGTCTTCGCCGACCCCGCGAACGGCGGCGGTGCGGACTCGCGCTGAGTGGCTCAGCCTTCAGCGTTGCCGCTTCGGTTCCCCCTGCCCGTTTTCGGCTAGGAGAGCTGCTCAGAGCTTAACGCGGACAGGGCGACTTCTCCGTTGCACTCGCACTGCGGTTTGCTTCACTTCGGTGTGGCTGGCGCCTATGTGCGTCTTTGATGCGGAGCATTTTGCTCAGTGCATGTGCGCGCCGCACTTCCTAGCCAATTCGCCTAGTTCGCGTCCCGGACTTTCTCTCGCCGCCTGACCGTCGTCTCGCGGCCGCGACCGAAAACAAAAATCCCCACCAGTCATCCTCGACCAGCAGACCTCGTGCGTCTACCCCACGGAGCCGGCCAAGCGGGACACAGCGACGGAGGTGGACGTAGAGCGCGCCGACATCGCCGTGTATCTCACCCCAGACAGCGCCGACGCTACCGCACTGGACGCCTACGCAAAACCGGCGACCCCCGCCGAAGGCTCGCCCCTCTTCACTGGTGACGACCGGGCCAACCTTGCCAGGAGGTCGAGCGGCCAAGGCTCCGGGACTCGGGACATCGGGTCCTTGTTCCCCGACATCCCCCCGCCCTCGGGCCCCGCTCAACCGACCCGTTCCACCTCCGAGCTCTCAGGACAGGACTCCCATGGCGTCCTGCGCTCATTGGTCAGGTTCCTGTTCGAGTGGAACCCCATTATTTTCGGTCGGTGGGCTGACTACGCGTGGGAGTACGGCGACGGGGTCACAGGCGTGAAGACCAACGAGGGGCCCTGGCCTCGCCAGTGTCTACGCCCCTTCCTCGTCAGCATCTACGGACAGCCGATCCCGGAGAAGTGTTATCCCCCAGACATCCCATGGGGCAGCCAGCGGGCGGAAGCTGCGCGGGTCGTTTCCCACCTGTCGCAAAACGAGGTGCGTGCGAACAAATGGCGGGCACATCTCGCCAGTCTGGAGGAGCAGCGTGGCCTCTGCCCCTTTCGCCACAAGACAAGCACCCTACTGTGATACCTTGTGGACATGGGCCCCGCGGCCCTCGCCGATGGCACCATCAACTCCTGGCGCAGCTGGGCCCGGTACAGACCGTCACCGATGCAGCAGCCGCAGCGAACTCTCCCGCAGCATGCTGGCTGGACGGACGCAGCGATGCAGCAGAGGCCCCCCTCACAGCCAGCAGAACCCTGGAACAGGAGACACAACCGGGCCACGCCCCCAGGCTGGTGCACGAGGCTCCCGGCACCGAGGGAACAAAGGCCAGGCCCCACCCCCAATCCATTACAGACGAGCAGGACAGCGTCGGGCAAGCCTGCAAGACCGAGGGCGAGCATGCATCGCCGGACTGGGGCGATGACCCAGGAGCCGTAGCCGAAACGGCCAAAGAAATGAGCCCGAGCGCGAGCCCTGGACCTGCCGCTGAGGGGGGCGAGGACGAAGACCCCCTCGACCCCCTGGGCGCATTCTCAGAAGCGCCTCCCAGCGACGCCCCATGGTCGCCCTATGCGCGGACCGTCGACCAGAATGCTGCCGTGGAGCTCCAGAGGGCCAAAGACGACGCTGGAAAGGCCAGCGCGTCGTCCTGGGATCACGTGGGGGCCAGAGCAGACCGCGCGCTCACCTCCGCTCCCTGATACCAAGGGCGCGACCGCCCTGTCTCTGAAGACGCCGGGGACGGGAGAGGACGCGCCGCCAAGTCCCCAAGGTGGAACCCTACGCGCACGGAGCCGCGCAAGGAACCCTGGAAAGACATCAGCGGAGACCAGCAGTATTACGAGGGCCTTCACGACCCCGAGGGCGGCGGCCCCATGTGCCCTAGCAGCCGCGCGCGTGGAAAATGACGAAGCCATTCAGGCCAACATTGCACGCCTGCAAAAGACACTAGGAGGCGCCTTCAACGCCATGTGGCATGCGTGGTCCAAGCGAGCTGCCCATAATCAGGACCTCAAGGGAGGCTATAAGAACAACCCCCGACTCAACGCACCTGAGACGTGCTCGGACTTCATGAAAGCCTGGGCCCGCGCTGGCTACGACGCGTGCGGGGTGGATCATGAGCTCGGACTCGGTATAGACTGGGTCGAAATTCGACGCAAGCACATGCATTTCTCCGTGCGGTACGACGCCCCCGCACGCGCCCCCCGCGCACCCGGCGGCCGCGACGCGCCGGCTCCTTGGACAGCCGAGGGCCGCAAGGTCGTGCGAACAGCGGCACAGGGTCCCTGGGCAGGCGCCGTTGGAACGGCCACCCCCGACCAATGGCGAGGCTGGCAGGGATGGTCCTCATGGGAACGTCCCGACACCCCATGGACGGACTCCGACTGGAAAGGAGGGGGCAAGCGGTACTCTCCGCGTGGAGACGACCGCGACTCCGAAAAGCGAGGCCGCTGGTGGGCCAAGAGCGACTCCGCAGCCCAAGGTTGACTCGCTCCCGCCATTGGGCTGCGCGCCGTGGCATCCGTACTCCCAGGTGCAGGCATCAGCACAGGGAGGTCCCTGGGTCTCTCCCCACCTCCCGCTACCCGTGGCCCCGGATGTTCCCGTCTCACCTCGCTGCGCCCGGCCTAGGCCGCAATGCCCGGGGCCGCCGTCCGCTGGGGCGGGGGCTGCCCCCCCTATCACCCTGGCGCAACTTAGCTAGACAGCCTTCGCTGGACAAGTGGCCCACCTGCCGCCTTTTCGGGCTAGCCGTCGGGGCCATCCCCCTCGTGCGCCCGACATCTCACCCTCACTTGTCCTCTTGGGCCACGGCTGGCTCATGTCTGTAGAAGCCTCGGCCACCCTGGAAGGTGCTGCCCGAAGATGGGAGCCTGCCCCCGCGACGCCCTGGGCTGGAGATGGGCCGCCTCAGCTATCCCCTCCTCCAGCCTGGTTGCAGTCTCGGACAAGACCCGGCCGGGTCTCAGTTTTGACGCGCCGCTGGCGCCAGATTATGACCAGCCCGCCCCCGGGACAGGATGGCCCCGTGGCAAGGGAAGTCAGCCCCGTACCGTTGCAGTCTTACACCCTATTGGAGCGACGAGGCAGCTGTCAGCGGCTGGCCGCCCGCGCTGCCAAAGGTGCGGCCCCCTGGGCCGACTTTTCCATGAGCAGCCCTTGCCTGCATTCCTGGC